GAAATCTTCATACTCATCGCCCTGATGATGGAGGCAGTATGACCTCTGAAACGTTGGTTAACATCGACCAGACTACACAGTGCAACAACCCAGAAGACAGAAATCTTCATACTCTGATGACGGAGGCAGTATGACCTCTGAAACGTTGGTTAACATCGACCAGACTACACAGCGCAACAACCCAGAAGACAGCTAAGAACCTACCGCTTATGACAAGGCAGCAGCCATTATGATCAGAAACGCAACTGGCATCCCAAAGCCTCTTCCCGAATCTCCTCCTGCTCCGTCGTTGTAATTCAAACTCCATAACCATCCCAACATCCACCGCACGACACTCTGCTAATATCAATAGCTAAAAAAAACAGCATGGTTAAATGAACTATTAATCATTAATCACATCACTGACCTTCCCTTCAAGGCAGCCATTTCCCTGCAAGGGGAACTTCCCCTCAGTTTAGAAATCACTATCTTGAAGGGTTGCCAACCTTGCGTATCAGGTGGAAGCCTACTAGCCGGCTGCAGCCAAGAACAATGCGCGAAGACTGACGGAAAGTTCTGGATATCTCACGTACCAACTTGATTACAAGCAGAACAATTAGTTTATAAATGTAAAAACATTTGTTGCTTCTGGCGTGTTAAAAATGTCAGAAATTACATGTAACACAAGTTAAAAATTCTAAGCATGTGATGCAGAACCGTCAGCGTATTGGAATTGTAAATTTCAAACTGGGTTTTCAATGAGACTGAATGCTAGCTTGTTCAAATCGCTACTTAAAAATTCAATGACAGGAACAAAGAACTATTTTGTCAGTAAAACACTTTTGAACAAAAATAATAAATTCTTCTTACGCTACCAGCCAAGTTTTGAGAACCATAAAACAGTAACTTTTATGATGAAAATGAAAAACAGTGAGGAATTCATCAAAGGAAACATTACCACTGGACCGAACCGGCTCAGGACATGTCCAAGTGGTTTGTTTTTCTGTTATAATGGCCTTCAAATTAATTTCCACCTAATTTGTTTAGTTTCTTAAGCAGAAACTGATAATTTGATATTAAGGCAACTTGCGCCAATAATTGTGATTATTATTAGCAAACTGAGCGCAAATGGTTGCATGATTAATGAAGCAACAGCGGATTAGGTTCGCATGTGGAGAATGGCGCTACACAGCTACTGGAAGTGAATCATTGACACGTCTGGAACGTACAGAAAAATCCACTGAAACGAAGACAATGTTCTTCTCTGACGTCACAGACTGCAAGAATCTCATGACCACCGCAGCCTGCACTAACAATAAAATAGGATGCCAGGGGTTGTCGAGGCTTCGTCTCAGCGCTACGCAAAGGCGAGTTAGTCAGATGACCAGTCACTCGGATTAGAAGCCAGATATTTGATATCTGTGAAACAGAATTCCACCACCGGCTAGTTCAAACTGATTTACATTATCAGTAAATACTTCCCTGGGATCTACTTTAATATTATCCTCCCAACAGATAGATACCCTACCAAAATTTAGCATCTGAGTGCAGAATAAACTGATTTATAATATGAGTTAGTATTCAACAGTATCAAAGGAAAATAAATTAAATGTGAAGTTCTTCGATCCCGACACGCTTCGCCACTCTCAGACCCAAGTTATTTCCCCTTGCGCTTTGTTTCAGACCACTTCAAACAGTAATTATGGACAGCCATAACAGTGGTTGCATTTCTAGGAACTTATTTAGGGGTGAGTTTCAAGATTCAGGTTTCTACGACAGCCTCACAAATCAGCAATTCTACTGTTGTGCTTAATTGTCATGAAGATGTATGGGAGAGAGAAGTTAAAGCTCCACGCATTCTCAAGATGGATGAGATAGATCAGCATCACATTCTTGCCCACTTTCCTTCTGTTAGAAATTGAGAATACCCATCAAATAGGAGGCTCGATTGTCCGAAAAGCCGTCCACGACGCAACTGAAAACAGGAAAAATTGCTCCCCCCTGCCAGGAATCAAACTGCAGCCGTCTAGTTCATAACGACTGTGCTACCCAATCACAACTCTACTACTCACACGATGCCGTTAATTCAATCTCAATAACTTTCTTTTACAAAAACATTTTAAAATAAAAATTCTCCGTCATCACAGACATTTCAAGCAGGGGCAATAATATGCCCCCCACTTAAATGTAGCTAAGATGGTAAAGGCATGTACCTCTGGTCTGAATACAGACTGACACATAACTGGTACTCCCGTGAGAAATATGCCAGAATCGTGCAGCGTCCCACTGTCACGACAGGTATCTAAACTCGCGCCACCTCACAAGGGCCTATCCTGAGCTGCTGTTAATCACGCCAATTGCCTTAACAACCGCCACATCTCATTCTCCTTAAATGCTTCTTCTGTGAAGTTTCACAAATAAAATTCAGAACCGGATCACACCCCCACCCCCCATGCCGTTCTGCATCTGTAAGTTCAAGCGACTTTTCAGAAACCCCCGCCTATACACCAGTGCCAGTTTTCGACCGCATTAATTGCGGTCCATACGCAATTTAAAAGCACAGATCACAATTAAACATTCTGATTGTAACTGTGCCGAAAGGATACTTGAATACTCCAGATCAGTTACTTTAAAAATTTTCCTAATGTTTCATGATCTGTGTCAATTTTTTTCACTTCAGAAGATGGGAGAAGTTAGGATCCACCAACTGAAGGTTGTAGTTACAAACAAATCCTTGCCTCTCAAACAATTACTGAACATGAAGATTTCTGTCTTCTGGGTTGTTGCGCCGCGTAGTCTGCTCGACGTTAACCAACGTTTCGGAGGTCATACTGCCTCCGTCACACTCGCATCTGCGAAAACCTCAAATCTTACAATTACTGAACAAACTGGAGAATTCAAAAACAGTCCAGCTTCTCTTGTCATTCAGTTTCCACTGTTGACGTCTAACACCGAGATCAGATCTCAGGTTTGAGCCACGCGACGCAAACATTTTGACAAACACTGCAACGAACTTCACCGTGAAGATGGGAACCCCAAAGTTTGCCAAAATCTCTGGAAGGTTATTAACAGATGAAGCCGGAGTTCAGCATCTTGTTGTGCCCCGTCCCATCTACATCTGAAGCTACGTCACGCCCCCCGACTCAGTCCTAGATTGAAGCAGCGATTCTGCATTTGTCCATTAACGTATCTCACTCAGACAATTATTTTAGTTTATTTCAAAACTAATTCTTCTTTCATGCTGAGTTTAAACGTAAATTATGGCAGGAATTTGTCATGGCACTGACAGAAAAATTGATCAAGATTGAAGTCTCATGCGGAGGAATTTCAACTTTGAACTCAGGAACCCTCAGGCTCACTGTTTTGAGTAGGTGTTACACAGTTTTCCTCAGTACAACCAGAAAGCAACCTTACTATCCCCCCTCTGTCCCCAAAAAATGTCAACTACCAACGTCGTACAACCGAGACAAACGTTAACATCAGAAACAACCCCGCGGATGTAAACGGATTCCACGCTCCTTCGATCCACATGAATCACACTTAACGAAGTGAAACGTAAGATATTAAGATTCAAGCATCCACAAAATCAATAATCGTACAGAAAGTATTGATTACATGAAGTTTAAGGCATTTACGCATCGGCACAAGTGTCACGCAATAGGAATTTCACATGTCAGTACATAACAAGAGACTCGCTGCCACCAAATGACGTAATTATGAGCGGAGTCAGCCTTCCGACAGCCGCAGGACTGGGACGGACGCAATGTCACAAAGTTGCAAGAACGAACGCCCTAAAATAGTGGGTTCCGAGACCGATCAAGACGACAGTAACGCGGCTTTGGCGGGGAACAGCGCGGGGCATCTGCCATTTATTTTGAAGATGGCCCATCCTGATACTTTCAAGCGGGCCCGGAAATATCCAGGCACAGTCACAGTTCCCAAAAAATTGTCTCATGCCACATTTTTTCTTTGTACCAAAAAAGGAAAGAACTCAGAAGCCGTCAAATTTCTCTGCCCATCGGAATGGTTGCTCGAACTTCAAAAATATCTAGCAATGAATGAATGAGGACTGAAGGGAGCGGAGAAATGAATCCACGTGCTTCAGGAGCCAAAACAAGACCGTGGACATTTTGAGATATTTTGGCACGTGGACTCAGCGGAAGCAGGAGTTGGGGCAAAATCGGGGCTGGCAAAGCTCAAAAAAAATCTAGACAATAGCCGCTACAGCAGCGACATTCTGCGGTTCCTACCTTCTTCTCCGTGAGCTTCTCGCAGCGCCGCATCTTGCAGATCTGGTGACTCTTGTCGTTCCTGCAAGGGGCGCAGTCCCCGCAGTTGTCCTTGCGCTGACAGCCCGTGCATTCGCCGCACCTCTTGCGCTTTTTCTTGACGGGCTTCTCGCCCTCGCTGTCCGACACGGAGGGGGTGTTGGAACTGGGCTGGAGGGGCGACTTGAAGCCGGCGGTGCTAGACACCGCTGCCACCTGACCTGAGCTTTCTACACTGCTGCTCCCCGCACCG